AATTTTATTTTTTGATTATCATCATATTATTATTGCTCAATAGCTCATTGTGGCTTCTTTCCAGGTGAGGGATGCCGTGGCTGTCATGCAGCTTCTCATGTGGTTGGAGAAGGTGGTGCCAGCGGGAAAACAGACGGAGCTGAGTGCCTCTGTGTATGTCAATGACTGTCGAAGGTCAGTCACCATACTCTCGGTACAGATCACAATAGAATCTGAAAGCCTGAATATATTAAGAAGGAAAAAAAAACATTTTCAGCAAACAGAAGGACAACAAGGGCCCGAGTTTTGAGACTATATCAGCAAGTGGACCTAATGCTGCACTGGCACATTACAGGTAAATGTCCTCATGATACCTTGAGATACAGGCTTCATTCATTCTATGATCACACTCGTGTCTCAAAGCATCTTTTCCCATTGAATATTGAATGAATAACATTTGTCAATTCCAGTCTCTAAAAAACTTCTTTTTGGGTCACTCGTATTTCAGTGCACCTTCTTTTTTATTGTTACGTGCCCACTGCCTGATAACATCTGTTTGAAGTCATTATAATTCTGACAAATATGGAGTTTTTCTTTATTTCCTCTTACTGAACTTCTTCAAGATTTGGGTATACCCACACAATCTAATCAAATGAAATTTGGGTCTGAATCTGAATTTTGACCAATCCACCTTAATAAAACGATTAACACACAGGAAGAAACAAAAGAATTATCGCTCAGGAATGGATTATAGTCAGTACACGCTAAAATCAGGTTTCAGTGTTGATTTGTTGTCGACTGAAGCTTTTCATGCTGTAGCCCAACAGGAGAAAGCAACAGGAAGCTGAAAGTGGATGAGATGTACCTGGTTGACTCAGGTGGCCAGTACCTGTGAGTAAGAACTCACACATGTACACATTCACGTGGGAACACACGTCACTTATGGTTGCTTTGGTGTCATGACTTACCTCCACACCGTCAGAGATGGGACCACTGACATCACTCGGACAGTCCATTGGGGGACACCCACTGCTATGCAAAAGGTAACACTTTGAATCTGATACATAGTCATAGTAATACAGTGTTGGCTTGAGATACAACTTTAATTGAATAAACTCACAACGCTCATTCTGTATCTTACTCAAAATGAAAGGAAACACCATGAATCAGTTTCAGCCCCCAAAACAAAAACGTGTGTGTTTTTCAATACGGCAAAAAAAATCAATCTATAATATTGTACTTAATGATAACATAAATAGAAAACAAGATTGCATAGAACGTGAAGAATTAAACAGTTTCCGCATCGTTTGCTGCAATATTGGCCACAGGGGGGCAGTACTGTAAAATACAGTCATATTGACATTTCAAAAAGTATAGTATTTATTCAACTACAACTCTGAGTGATTCAGTGAAAATATTGATAATTAGTAATATTAGTCATTTTTCACAGAGCATGAAGAGTATGTGCCTATGAATATTGTTATATTATCTGTCACATGTGTTATGTCACCATTTGCAGTGTCAATTGCTTCTATTAATGCTAAATGTTAGCATGTTAGTTTTTGTAAAAAGAGAAGCAAACTTTCCTAAAGCAAAGCTATGTGGTTGATTTGGATACAAATGGTGCACTCCTCTTTGTTTGATGTTTACTTTGACAGTAAACTTC